TCCATCCCCTCATCACATGCATCCCCTGCTCTTACTTGTGTTGGCAATTTCCAGGTGACTGAAGGGAAGCAGTACACGTTGACTTCCGACTCCACATGCATCACCCACCCACGAATGCACAGATGCTGACCTGCAGAACAATATTGAACTGTGTCCTTTCTTTTCCCTCTCCGAGCATGTGTGCCTGGTGTCCTCTCTGTTCCCCCTACTCTCCCCTTGCAGACTTTTGTGATGCAGTCATCAACCATATTGCTATCCCGTGCAGCCCATCCGCATTCCCCTCGTGACAGCAGCTCCTCAGATGTTCGCATGGGCTTGAAGAGCAGACGCTTCGCATCATAAAAAAAAACGGCCGGGAAATCCTTGCGCCAAGGCGACCTGTAAGTGAGCTTGCTTGATTTCCGCTTGCTCTTGAAGCCAAGATTGAAACAACAGGGAAGGACCATTGATGATCCCTCTGCTTGACTAGCGCCTCCTGAAATGAGGACGAAGCGATCATGAAGAGTTGAAACACCTCCCACCTCACGCCTCCTAACAGTTGCTCTTCGGAGCTTGGTATCATCCACCACCTCCATGGGGGGGAAACACTCGTTCTCCCTCAATGCAGCAGCTTTTCAGAGACCCACACTTACCTCCTCCTGAAATCATAACAAGGCAATGGGAATGACATGGCATCAGTGAGCTCACGCTGAGAAGCGGACAGGAAGAATGGTGTTAAATGGTCGGCAGGGGAAAAAAAGAACATCGGGCAACGGACGACGGGTAGAGACATGCTTCAACACAAAACGACGCACATAACAGTCTTCAAAGGATCCCTTAGCGCATACTCTCGCACTAGCACTTTTTTTAAATGTATAGGACTGCAATTACGGCCAAACCAGGATGCATCTGACTGCAATCACGTCCAGAGCTTGGTCAGAAAAAAGCCCTCACGTGCGTATGTCCTTAAGAGTCTTAGACACTTCAGCAAACAAGCAGGAAGCAACAGGAGGAGGTCAACGACCAATGGGTGTAGCTCCGTTGATACGCCCTTAAACTGTTGATGAAATACAGACTCAAGTTCGAATCCAGTTGAATGGCATTAAAAAAAGAAAAGAACAGGAGGTAAATGAAGCAAAGAAATGAAAAGAAACACAAAGCAAGTGCCGCCTCTCATCAGAAAGAGCAAAGAAAAGGGAGAGAAAAGAACAGAGCCCATTATCATTTTTTTTTATTTTTTTTTTGGCACCCATCTAGGCTACCAGAGTGGTCCGGGACCACTTGCCCCGCCGGGCCACAAAAAAATTCAAAAATAAAATTCATTTAAAATTTAAAATTATTTTTTATTTTTTATTTTAATTTTAAATTTGGTAAAGATCCCCCCGCCCCCCCAATGTGGCCCTGAGACAAAAGTTGTTCAGCTTATTTTTCTGCATAACTGTCACAACATAGTTTTTTTAACTTTTTTTCCTACCAGCCGGGCCGCCCGGGTCCCGGGTGGCCAGCCCGTGCAAGGTCCCAGCAAAAAAAAAAAACAAAAAAAAACAAATCCAAAAATTCTGAAAAAACACTATGTTATGCAGAAAAATAAACTGAACAACTTTTGCCTCAGGGTCACATCGAAATTCTTCACCAAATTTAAAATAAAAAACAAAATTCAAAAATATTTTATTTATTTATTTATTTTTTAATTATTTTGGCCCGGCCGGGCAAGTGACCCCGGGCCACTCTGGTAGCTTAGTTATTTTCAATTTTTTTTGCAGGTTTTTTTTTTTTTTTTTTTTTTTTTTTTTTTTTTTTTTTTTTCGGGTTTTTTTTTTTTTTTTTTTTTTTTTTTTTTTTTTTTTTTTTTTCCTTGCGAGTGCAAGGAAAATAAGCAACAGCGGGACACACTCTGGCCTGGTCCTTCAGGGATCGGCAAGGGTTTGATCAACCCAAGCGGAGCCTGAGTCCTTGGTTTGTCCCTTTGAAAAACCTGGCAGGTTTCGACATAACGTTTTGCATCTTCCAACATAGAAGGCCACCAAAATCTCTTCACTAAGTTCGCTGATGTCTTTCTATAGCCAAAATGACCAGTTGCATCATGACATTCTCCTAAAAATAAACTACGCAAAGACTCGCTATTAGCAACACATACTCTTTTATTCCCTGCCTTCTCGAGAAACAGCAAGCCATCTACCATCGTAAATTCGTCCAAAGTCTTTTTGTCCTTTGCTTGGAATCTACGGATGATCTCTGACATAACTGGATCTCCCTGATAGGCTTCCACCAGCGATCGAGTGAGTTCTTCAGATATGCCAAACTCAGTGACTAGCGCGCCCAGATAATCTGCCCTTCTTGATAGTGCATCAGCCACCTTGTTGTATGTACCCTTGATAGGGTCAAGTTGATAGTCATACACGTCTATCACTTGAATCCATCTCTTGAGTGCGTCCGACAACACAGGCTGTGTCTTAATCCAGCGCAAAGTCTCATGGTCAGACCTCACATAGAAGAATCTTCCTAGGAGGTAGTGTCTCCAATGAACTAGCGTTCTGTACAGGGCGTAGAGCTCCTTCTCATAAGTGGATTTAGCTAACTTTTGAGAAGGCATCTTTTTACTCATGTACTCGATCGGTCTCAACTTTGGCCCCTCCTGTTCCGCAAGGACCGCGCCTATGCCATATTGGCTGGCGTCTGTGGTCATAACAAACGGCTTGTCAGGATTAGGAAGTTTGAGAACTTCATAGTGTGTTAGTGCATACTTCAATTTCTTGAAGCTTGCTTCACACTCTTCAGTCCACTCCCAAGGGGTGTCAAGTCGAGTTAGATCTGTTAACAGGGAAGCTATAGTACTATAGTTCTTTACAAACGGATGATAATAGCCCGTCATCCCCAAAAACGATCTGACCTCAGTAACAGTCTGAGGTCTGGGCCAGTCACGTATGCTGGCCACCTTCGCATCTTCCGGCCTCAATCCATCTGCTGAAATTTCATGACCCAAGTACAAGATCTTGGTGCGACCAAACTCGCATTTATCCAAATTTACCTTGTACTGGTGCTGTCTTAGGAGACCTAGCACTGTTTTCAAGTGCTCAGCGTGATCCTCTACAGTCCTACTAAAGATAAGAATATCGTCGAGGTACACGACGATAAACTTGTCCAAGTACTCATGAAATATCCGGTTCATCGCGTGCTGAAATGTACCAGGCGCATTGCATAGGCCAAAAGGCATCACCACAAACTCGTACAGACCATACCTGGTCTGGAATGCGGTTTTGTGCTGGTCCTCAGGTCTAACGACAATTTGATGGTATCCGGACTTCAGATCTATCTTTGTGAGGTACCCGCATCCCTGCACTCTATCCAAGAGGTCGTCAATGCGGGGTAGGGGCTCCGCGTTCTTAACGGTGATGGCATTGAGGCCCCTATAGTCAATGCACATCTTAAATGGACCTCCCTTCTTTTGGACAAATAAGATTGGCGCACCGTAAGGGGAGGTACTAGGCCGTATCCAGCCCTTCTCTGTGAGCTCCTTGAGCTGGCGGCGAAGCTCATCTAACTCCACAGGAGATCCTATAGATTTGTCCTCTAGGCACCTTGCTACCTGGGACAACCTCTATCGCATGGACAACCTCCCTTTCTACCACGCCTGTGGGCTCCTCAAAAAGGTCTGAATATTGAGCGACGACTTTTTCTATCTCTGGGGGTGATTTAACAGCCTCCCCTTTCTCAGAGACAAAAACTAGATACATGCCCTCCTCTCGATTCTGCTTATAATAGTTATAAGGATGAGGCACACATACGCCCGTAGTTTTCTATTAGACTGCTAGCCTTATACTTCTGCAATATAACAGTTCTACCATTGGGAAACTTGTGGATCAACACCTTTCTATCCCAGTCAAACTGAGGTTGCGAGACTTCAAGGTAGTACATGCCCAGTAACATATCGAATGGCAGTTCGTCGCTAACCAGGAAGGAGATCTTGTGGATCACTTCCCCTCCTCCATAGGAGAAGGTGCAGGCTACGTCCTTGACATAGTCTTTGACAACCATTTGGTGCTTGTTGGCTAGCATAGGAGCTACAGTTCTGCTAAGCCGCTGCACTTGGTCCCCTAATCGCAGTCTATCCACACAAGCACGACTGATGAAATTTTGTGTAGAGCCTATGTCTGCGAAGGCGCCAACCTTGCGGCCACCTACACCTACTTCTACCACAAAATATTCACCCTTTGGACCTCTGCTGATCATCGCCCAAGAGTCCCTGGGGTCCTTCCCTGACCACTCAGTCCCTAACTCTTCTAGGGCCTCAGACACATCTTGCGAACAGAGCGTCGGTGGGTCTGAATGTGTCTGCGGGGCGATGTGTGGGTCACTAGCCTTGGCCAACGCCTGAAGTGGGGAAGGCAACCTTAACACTTCAGCACGAGTAAGAGCGGCTAACACTCCTACTAGCCCGAGGTGTTTCCCTGTGAGCTGCTCGCAGAAGCACTCCCAGGATTTGAAGATAAGCCCACCACCGTCGTGACCTTCTTGCCGCGGCAAGTCCTGGACGTGTGGCCATAGTTGCCACAGTTCATGCATGTGCCCCTGGCAACTCGGTCCCTCCACACATTGTAATCCAAACAAAGCTTTGCCCATGCGGGTGTCCCTTGGTCTCCCTGACCCGTGGACCGTCCTACCTTCTTCTTCCCGGTCCCCCTAGCCTTTTCTTTGATGGGTGCCACGACTCCACCATCTGAAGTCTCACTATCCCCATCCTGCTTTGTCAACTCCCCAAGGTCTGGGAAATCGTCAATCTCAGTCGTTTGACCATCGTGGTCAACGAACATTAACTGACCCTTCTTCTTCCAGTCTTGGGGTAGTCTCTTCCTACCATCATGAGATGCCTTATGCGCAGACCCCAGCTTTGCCTCTATGTCCAGAGCTTTCTTACTAAAAGAAGCGAAGGTGTGCTGTTCGACATAGGCCTCATCAACCAGTTTGGTCCTTACCTCTGCAGGTAGGCACCTTAGGTAATCCGTCAGGAGAACCTGCTGGTCAAAACGCACACCAGGTACCACGAGAAGGCGTTCTACGGTGTCCGTAAGCTCTCTAACATCCTTGAACCTGCGGGAACAAAGGTTGTTGATAGCATCGGTGGCCTTTTAAGCCCCTTGCGGGTCATGCCACTTGTTGTAGACGGACCGTACGAACTGTTCCAATGTCTGGGCCTGAGCCCAGGCATCGAAATCWTGACCGTAGCCCTGTTGCTGCACTAGGCCATTCAATCAGCGAGCTGCTGACCCTTCTAGAAAAGAGGCAGCCACAACAATTTCTTGCTCTGGCCTTGTGAGTTTGTGCCTCACATAGTGGGCACAGTCCTCACCCAGGCGTCTAAGTCCTCTTCCTTCTTCCTCTCACTAGAGAAGGGCTTGGGACTCATCAAAGGTATTTTGGGCATCCACTGCATAGGCTGCATGGGCCCAAGTGCTTGCTGCAGCGGCTGCATAGTTACTGAGACAGGCTGCTGCACGCTAACCTGGGCCTGGCTTGACAGTGGGACTGTAGTGACCACTGTTGTAGATGGTACAGCTGAGACTCTTTGAACCGGACCACTAGCTACTCCTACACCACCAGGAGGGGGCATGCCAAACATTGGAGAAAAGGTTTGTCCCGTGGGTTGCGGCATCGTTGAAGGACCCGCGCCTGCAGGGGGAACGACAGCAAACTGCGGCTGCCTCATCACTGGACGAGGAGCCTGGAGTGCATCCAGAATTTGTTTCTCGCCTGCCACTAGATCAGTCAACAGTTCCTGCTGAATTGTCTACGCTTCTGCTATAGATAGGACAACATTACACAGCACGCGTCCAACAAGCTCTAATGTCGCCTCATCTAGGTCCTCTAGTCTGCCTAGTGCCTCCATCCTACTCTCTAATCTGGCCTTCCTCATGATTGCTTTTCTTCTCCTCTCTGATGCTTCGTCCAACTGCCGCCGTAACTCATTCTGAAGTTCTTGCGCTTTTTGGATTTCTATGTCCTCAGGTGTGAGTAGAGCCTCTTGGCTGACTTGCAAGCCAACAGATTGACCAACTGTACCCGATCCACCTTGTCCAGCCCCTGACGAAGAAGACTGGGAGGTGGACTGCGATGTCGAAGAGACGGTAGCCATTGCAGCCGCTAAGCTGGCTGCTGCGTCCCTATTCCTCCTCGCCGCTGCCCTCTCCCTAGCTTCCCTTCGTAGTCTCCTCTCCTCTCCTGGACCTAACTCCAAGAAAGTCCAAGGTTGACTAAGAGCGGTTATCCGTGTGATCCTAATGGGTTGCACTAGCCTTTGCTCGTCCTCACTGCTGTCTTCACTCATGAGCTAAGGTGTGTGTGATCTAAACTAGAACTCACACTGAATCCTACCTTAGCGTGACACACAACCGTCTGTGATATACAACTATTATCGGTCGGCGGGAACAGAAACAAATAGGTGATATAGTCACAACTAATGTCAGGTCCTACAGGGTATATCACATCTATTTTTAGATTAGTCTAATACAGATCACTTTACAGCAAAGAGTCTCGTCTGTCTGTAACTGTCTGTCAGTTGTCAGCAAAGTCTGTAACAACTAACTAATCAAAGATAGAAATAACATCTCCTGCTGGAGATGTATACTGGATGGCAGATTTATAGTTGATTGCCACTATGAACAGTTACCGGAATCCCCCCTCCCCCTGTATCCTTCTTGAGTGGTCTCTTTGTGTCAACGTTCCTGAGCATCTGGTTGAGCAGCGTGTCTGAAGGTGTGCAATCCGGCCCACCCCTGTGCCCCAAGTCATTGCCGAACATGCCAGCCAGTCCACTCTTATTTATCCTCGTACGGAACGAGCCTTACCACCCGGTTTGATCTGGCCGATCAGGAGGGATTTAAGGAGAGCCCCCATCTCCTCAGGAATTATTTAACATCGCAGACAGGACGACGATCACAGCCAGAATCAACACCGAGTCTGCAGCCAGAAATATTTATAGACGGTCTGGTAGGCGTCTCATTAAAGGCTGGCATGCCCTGCATGACCTCTATTGTGCAAGCAGCGGTACCAAGGACTTGCTGCCCAAGCATGCGTGTACTAGTCCCACCGGGTTGGCATGGTGACCGTGACCCGAGTGCTTCGTCCAGGGCCCTTCAGAGGCTTCGCCCGTCTCCCACCAGCTTGCTGCCCAGGAAGAATGTCGACTCTCAAGGTTGAGCGCTCGCGACACCTCACATCGAGAGGACTCTCAAGACAGAACTCACTTCCTCACGGTAAGAAGAGATGAAGAGGGTAGATAAGGAAGAGAGCAATGTACCTCTTAAATGCTGCCCCCAACCACAGATTTCTCACCGGTAACCTGATGTACAATTATGATGACCGGTCTTTGCCTCAACACAACCAACAGCAGAATGTGGTTCCACCTTGGCTTAATATGCCACATCAGCGAGTTCTCATCATCCAGCATACACCCCGTATGTCACCACATAGCTCCCTGGCGCGCCCACACTACCCTGGGCCGCCTAACGTTCAACGCCAATGCCTTATCACTGCCCCACACCTCATGCGAAGCACCAATAGCTATTGCGAAGAACCAATGAAGCGCAATATGAACCAGCTCCGATACCAAATTGCACAGAAAATAAGCAACAGCGAGATGACAATTCCAGATCACACCATCACATTGAATGATTGAAGCCATATAGTCACACCATGTCCAGAGAGCAGCATTGCACCAATAAAAATACACCAATGGAGGTTCGTAGCACTGAAGACCAATGTCCATGGAGAGCATACTGTCTCCTCTCAACACAAGAGTCCAGTTCCTTCACACTCACACTTGGCACTCAGCGCCCAGCCTACTCCTACACAGCTACTACAGACTACAAAAAGACAATGCAACTGTTGACATCAGCGGCAGCCCGAAGTACTTGAAGATGTCACCCATGCAGACCATCGCCAATACAAGGTAAGTGCCCCTCACATCATCATCATCATCATCATCCTTCACCTATCCCCTGACTACACCCACACCTGTCCTCTCTTTCACCCGAAGACCACCCCTGCACTTCACTGTAGTCCAAGCCCACCAGCTATGGTGGCTGCGCCCTCCTCTGCACGACCGCACGTGCTGCACCTCGCCTCTCAGCGCCAGCCAGCAGCCGCGAGCCTTTGCTCCAGCAGCGCTGCCGCTAGCATGCGAGTGCCTGAATGAGACAGCCAGGGCCGAGCTCTTTCCTTCATGGAAAGAGTTGGCCTGCTCTCGCAGCCTGGCTGCACTGGCCTGGGCCCAGAAGTGTCCGGAAGGCCCCAGGAGGCTGCCTGTGTACAGCAGCTACTGGGCTGCTGGGCCTCGTTCGGTTGGGCGCCCAACTGTCTCTGTATGAGGCTGCGAATCACGCCCAGGGCCTGCATTCTTTGGAAAGGCCCGGAGGGCCGTGGAAATGTCTTTGTTGCTCGGCCTGTGTTTCGCTCAACCAACTCGCGCGTCGCAACTGCCTGGACCCCAAATATGAAATTGACAGTCGAGGGCCTCTCGCAAAAAGCCAGGCCCGCCTTCACTTAGGGCGGGTACCTCCACCTTCACTTAGGGCGGGTAAGGCTGCAAACAGGGCCCCATAGGCCTACCGAGGACCCTGATCCTCGCACTAGGACCTTCCCTGGTCCTTGCACGGCCGGACCGCCCGGGAAAAAAGGGTGACCCGGGCGGCCCGGCTGGTAGCCTAGGCGCCCATTGATTTTAGCACGAGGCCCGGTCTTTGTTTGTTTGCAATGGGTTATTCCCTGTCGCAATCCAGTCCAATGGTGGAGGCTGAGGGCAAGCGTGCAGATTTGCGCCTGACGGATCAGTGATAGCAGCTTCTACTCCTAGTTCTTTGCACCTCAGGCCTTCTCCAGGCGGCCGCTGGCCAGACCGGCCGAGCTCCAGAATCAGTGCTGACAGCCAGGTGCAAAGAGTACAAATCAATCACAACCTACAGTGTAATTAATTATAACTTCAGCATCTGCATTGCAGTCAACCGTACGAAAATGCATCCAAATGATATGATTCAATAATGCATCTTAACTAACAGCCCCTGGCCTGGCTGATGGCAATTCAATGTGATGGACCCTCACACATACTGAACAATCAAAATGCTTTGACGAAAGGTTGAGAGAGAGTCAAGAACGATTGGCAAAGAATACACACACCAAGGAGACAAGGGGGGGGAGAGAGAGCGAGAGAGAGAGAGAGAGAGAGAGAGAGAGAGAGAGAGAGAGAGAGAGAGAGAGAGAGAGAGAGAGAGAG